TAGAGACATAAGCAGGACCATTATCCGTCTTTGTTTGTGTAGGTATACCCATGATAGCCATGACTTCTAATAAATGAGTGGTTACTGAATCAGCTTTTTCTGAACTTAAAGCAGTTGCCCACTGAAAGCCTGAATAAGTGTCAATGGTGTGATGAACATATTTTAATTTTCCAAATTCTGCAAAGTAGAACACATCCATCTGCCAGATTTCATTTCTATGGGTGCCCTTTGGATTAGCCGCTGCAGGCAGTGGCGTTTGGTTATAGAAAGAGCAAGTAGGGCATTTCTTTACAATCTCCTTAGCTTGTTGCCATGTAATAGAAAACTCTTTCTTCAAACCTTTGCTATTAACATGATGTTTTTTTATGAAATTCAAAGGCTTGTAGCACACTACCAATCAATAATTGATCAATTTCTGCATTACCTTGTCCTAGAGGACCTGGCAGACCCATATGGGATCAGATGTGTGTTATGTACAAAGGGCAATGCCTGTTCCTGATCAAATCTTGAACCTGGAGAAATAATGAGGTTAGTTCAGTATCATCAGGTATAAATTCAGCAGTTTCAATATGTAAAATAACTCTTTCTGCATATTGTGAATCAGTAACTATATTAATAGGTTCTTTAAAATCCCTTAGCACCATAAGAATGGCATATAATTCTGCCTTCTGGACAGAATCATAAGGACTTTGTTCCACCTTACCCAAGTCTTCTGATTTGTAACCTGCCTTCTCTGATTTACTGGCATCAGTATAGAATGTACGGGCTCCAGTTATTGGAGCATCACAGACGATTCGAGGAAGGATCCAAGAAGTTCTCTTTATGAAGTTAAGCTGCTTGCTTTTTGGATAGTTGTTATTAATGTCTCCCAAAAAATTAGCACAAGCTCTTTGCCATGGTTCATTATCTTCCCATAATTTCTTTAGTTCATCAGCAGTGAAAGGCACTATAATTTCTGCGGGGTCTATGCCTGCTAGTTGACAAAGTCTCAGCTTGCCTTTTATAATTAACTCAGAGACTTTTTCAACATAAGTTTTCAGTTTCTTACTTGGTTTATGTGGTAAAAAGATCCATTCCAAGATAATATCATCTATCTGCATTAAAATTCCTGTAGGAGAAATTTTTGATGGTAGTATGATGAGAATACAATCGAGCTCTGGATTCACCCTGTCCACATGTGCCTGTTGTAATTTTTCCTCAATCATTGTCAGTTCCTTTTCTGCTTCAGCTGTTAATTCTCTGGGACTGTTTAAATCTTTATCACCATCCAAGGTTTTGTTAAAATGAATTATTATATCAGGTGTTATCCCAATAGCTGGTCGTAGACTGGAATTGTCTCCTAACAGTCTTTGAAAGTCATTAAGAGTCAGTAGGCGATCTCTTCTAATTTGTGCCTTTTGTGTCTTAATTTTTTGCAAATCTATTTTATAACCTAAATAATTAACAGAATCTCCCTTCTGAATCTTTTCAGGAGCAATTTGCAATCCCCATTTAGGTAAAAGTATCTTTATTTCTTCAAACAGCCTGTTCAAGGCATCCATGTTTGAATCGGATAACAAAATGTCGTCCATGTAATGGTATACTATAGATTTGGGAAATTTCTTGTGTATTATTGGCCTTTCTACCCTTTGCTCTTCTTCATCAGAATTTAGAAATTCCTCAATCTTTTCAATTCTATTCACTATTGCCTTCTGCAATGTCTGAATCTCCTGTCCAGAATTATGTTCCAAAGCCTACATTGAGGATTCTAAAGTATGAAGTTTGTCCATTAGAGATAACATCTCATCTTTGGACATAATTTTTATGGCATAAACTGTGCCTTCTTGTATTGACAACATTTCTGCAAATCTGTCATAAGCTTTAGACAAAATCCGATTGTCACATTCAGCAGTTTTGATTCTCTCAGTTAATGTTTCATTTCCTACAGAAAGGGACTGAAGCTTACGATCCAAATCAGCTGTTCCCTCTTCCATAGTAATGAATTTCTCCTTAACATCAGCCTGGAGAACTTCAAACTGATTCTTGAGAAGATTGTTGTCATTCTCAATTGTTTTTAAGCGTTCAATCTCTGCCTTAAGAATCCTGGATTTGTCTCGTAAAGACTTTATCATATTTCTATTATCAAACAATTTAGTGCCAGTGAAAACTACGAATCCCAGAAGGATCCATAGATGTGGGGTGATAGACACCTCTTGTAAAATCTCCCACATGGTACAATTAAAAAAACTGTTAAATTCTTGAACAGTAACGTGTTCAGGCATTTTATTTATAAAAGAAAAATTTTTTACCTGCAATGATCGGTTCCTGCCAGTGGTGGTCTCTGTGTTTTTGGAGCCTGTCCTAGAACTAGCTCTTGTAGACCAGGCTGGCCTCGAACTCACAGAGATCTGCCTGTCTCTGCCTCCCAAGTGCTGGGATTAAAGGCATGTGCTACCACCGCCTGGCCGGCCTTGAACTCACAGAAATCCGCCTGCCTCTGCCTCCCAAGTGCTGGTATCAAAGGCATGCGCCACCACCGCCCGGCCAAGTCACTTTGTATCAGACCAAATCAGCCACTGTGGCGGTTTTTGTTGCAAAACCGCAGGTACTTGAGCTTCTGCTAATTCAGGCCGTAGGGTTCCGCTGCAAACTTAGCCAAGGCAGGCAGAATGGGCCTGTGTGGCCTAGTGTGTCTCGGACTCCGCACTGGGGCCGGAGTCACAAACTAAAAAACAGCACCCGGTGCTGTGTTATCTAGTGGGCTACCCGCTTGAGTCGGGGGCAAAATAGCCCGACGTTGGACGCCAAAATGTAACGGCATAAACGAATGAAGACAGATTGTAAAAATATATATACAACTTTAATGGCAAAATAGACTTACAGAACCACCGTTCCCGCGGAGACCAGGAAATCAGAAGAAATGGCTGGGAGCACGCTCGCCAAATTTATAGGCAAACATTAGCCTAAAGGGCGGGACTTATCACTACAGTTTCATCTTAGATCTTCAGACCAGGAGGTTTCACTGTGCAGCCCCATGCAGTTCACACTCACAGTCCCACAGCTAGGGAACAGTTTTGCCCCTAAGCATCTCTGGTACAGGTTAGTCAACTTGTGTGAAATTTGCATACATGAAATCGCACACTCTGCATTCTCTTGGCACAGCTTTCCCACCTTGTGATGTCATGAGCATCAGTTTCCTCTTCTTTGTTTTCAGTGCACTTGGTTCACTATGTACCCATCATAGAGAGAACATCTGCTTCACTGTGCATCCATCATAGAGAGAACATCTGGTTCACTGTGTGTGCCCATCCTAGAGTGAACATCTGGTTCACTGTGCATCCATCATAGAGAGAACATCTGCTTCACTGTGCATCCATCATAGAGAGAACATCTGGTTCACTGTGTACCGATCCTAGAGTGAACATCTGGTTCACTGTGTGTGCCCATCATAGATTGAACATCTGGTTCACTGTGTGTGCCCATCATAGAGTGAACATCTGGTTCACTGTATACCGATCCTAGAGAGAACATCTGGTTCACTGTGTATATGCATCATAGAGAGAACATCTGGTTCACTGTGTACCCATCATAGAGAGAACATCTGGTTCACTGTGTACCCATCATAGAGTGAACATCTGGTTCACTGTGTACCCATCATAGAGAGAACATCTGGTTCACTGTGTACCCATCATAGAGAGAACATCTGCTTCACTGTGTGTACCCATCAGAGAATGAACATCTGCTTCCAAACACTTGTGGTGAAAAACAGCCACCATTTCTGGTGCCCACATCAGACATTCCGTGAGGTCTATGAGATTTCTATCTAGGGGTCAAATCTCTGAGTTACAAGGTACAGCTTCTAGAGATGACTTCCAACCCACAGAGAGGACTCTGCCACAAGAGGTGTGGTATGACCAACAGGCCAACTCTGGGACTACTCACTTCTTAGTCTTGCTTCTGGATGCCCCACCTCCACGAAAGCTCACCGAGCATAAAGCCACATTTGAGGAGTCGGTGAAATGGCTCAGAGGGCAAATGTGTCTGCCACCAAGCCTGACAACCTGGGTTCAAACCTGGGACCCACATGGTGGGGAAAACTGATTCCAGCATGTTGAAACATAACATGGGCCTGTCCAATCCTGGTACAGAACATAGACACCAAGTTTGCATTCTACTTCTCTCAGTCACCCCAACTGTTAAGGTACAAATCGCACTGTGACAAATCTATTGAAATTTATTTTATTATTATTATTTTTTTTTTGGTTTTACGAGAAAGGGTTTCTCTGTAGCTTTGGGCCTATCCGGGAACTAGCTCTTGTAATATTGTTAAGGTTTACCAGTCAGTTGTGGTGGCACACACCTTTAATCCCACTGCTCAGAGGCAGAAGCAGGAATATCTCTATGAGTTCAAGACAAGGCTGGACTACAAAGTGAGTACCAGGACAGCCAGGACTACACAAAGAAACCATTTCTCAAAAAACTTTCTTTCTTTCTTTCTCTCTCTCTCTCTCTCTCTCTCTCTCTCTCTCTCTCTCTTCTTTAGCTAGGATCTACACTATGTCAACCAGACTTGCCTCAAACCCATGAACTGCCTTAGCTTGCCAAGTACACACAAACACCACTGCTTCAGGTACTGCTACTATTTTCTCCTGGTGCACAAATTTTAAAAAATTTAAGTACAAGACAGAATCATTTCTTTTACTTCTAGGTTTAAACCACTAACCCAAAGAGACCACTGAGAAGAATTAAAGCTGAAGGAAAATATATTTTTGGAATAAAAATTTATACTACTCCTTACACTATTCTGCAATATTCATTTACTTTTATTGGCATGACAATTATGCAAGTCATAAGAGTATCTTGTTAAACATGATCTTATTACAAGTGAAAACTTACCCGCCACCACCTTTTGTTGCTGAGAGGGCAACTCAGGGCCTTGTGAGTGCCAGGCAAGCACCACACCCCACAGCCCCTCTTTTCCTTATATTATCGTGTAATAAAGACAACAGCAAACAGCAAAGTTGCCACCTTCCAACCCATCTGTGATGGCTGTTTGGAACAACACTGAAAAACAAAGTATTTATTGGAATATCTGATCAATTCTGACTCACAAAGCAGAACTTCACATGGAATGTTTTGAGAATTTACAAGTGCTTTTTCCCTAAGTGGGCCCTTTGGTAATGTGTCTCCTTCAGCTCCATCCATGACTGCCACAGCAGCAGGCCAGGGATCAGAACCCACAAGCCATTAAAAAACAGCAAGTAGACCCAAAAGTAGAGCCAGCTCTCGGTGTTGAGGTTGGGGCTTCCAACAAGCCACTCGGGGAAGAAGGTCATCCAGCCACCGTAGAGTTCACACACACACAAGGTGATCTGTATGAAATGCCTGTGGGAGAACACACGACATGAAGCAGGTACAGCTTGGGACTCTGAATTACGGCACCTTTTATTTAGTCTTTACTACAGAAACGTGTGGGCTCCTGGGTGGCGCTTCTCTGATGGGCCAAGCCAGCCTAGAGAGCCAAGACACCACCCCTGCTTGCAGAAGCAGTGCCGCCCCTCCCAGCATTTAGAGTTCTAAGGACACTTGAGTGCCCTGTACTACTCTCAGGATTTAGTGAGGTCACCGCTGACCCTCAAAGAGACCTGGATATGAACTTGACCCCAGCCAGCTGCATCTGTTGTAAAGGTGACAACTGTCCTTCCTCAAAGGGCACTGCGGAGAGTAAATGGACTATGTAGATGAAGGGTCTTCATTACCTGTGGCTGACACAGGTCATGCACATATTATCAGTGCTGGAGACAACACACATGTAAATTTGCAATGTGTCCACAAATGTGGTCATGGAGCCAAAACAATGTTAAAGCAGTCAAGAAAAATCACTGCTAACTATCTGTGGAAGTGGTGGGGAAAGGGGATTAAAAGCTGGAGGACTCTCTCAAATCTGAGATTTCATGACAAAGCTTTACATCTTGAAGTCTTACATAAAGCTCCTGTCTTGCTGGTAAACACGCTTGCAACTGCATCCAAACGTGGCGCGGGCACTGGGCAGCTAATATCCCCCCCTTCCCGCTGGATGGCAGTGAACTTACCGGTAATATTTCTCCTTGACTATGGCGTAAATGAGAACCAATGCCAGAATCCCATCCAAGACAACAGTCAGAATTTCCAAAGACACAATGGTTGGGTCAAAATACAGCCATCTTCCATCAGCCTTGCCGTATTCTTTCCCTAAAGACAAAATACCTGTGTTTAGTCTCTCAGCTGGCAAACATTTTGTGTTGTTAATCTTTTAGGGAGAAGACAAACAAATGGGCTGCATCATGACAATTTCAGACAAGCCATCGGTTTATTCTGTTTATTCATGCGCGCCACCTCGTTACCCCCTCTGCTGCTCTCTTTTCTCCCCTAAATGGCCGCTTTCTACTTCCATGCCCTGTATACCTCCTAATCTCTATTTGCGGAAATGTGGTCTTGCCCATTTATTGATTGGATGATTTGGTTTTGCCGCTTAATTTGTTTGTTTGTTTGTTTTTCGAGACAGGATTTCTTTGTGTAGGCTCTCCTCATTCCTTACTGAGTAGGAATCTTTAAACTTCCTGCAATCCCATTTGCTAATACTTGCTATTATTTCCTGTGTTATTGGATTTTTGTTCAGAAAATCCTTGCCTGTGCCGATATCTTGAAGAGTTTTCCTTATATTTCTCTCTATTAGTTTAGTATTTCAGGCCTCATGTTAAGGTCCTTACTCCGTCTAGAGTTGGTTTTTATACAATGTGGAAGAGGGGCTAGTTCCACTCTTCCTCATGGACTATCCAGTCCTCACACTCTTGTTGAAAGGTTGTAATCTTTTTTCCCAATGTGTGTTTATGTCAGTTTGCCCAACATCTGGGAGCTGTGCCGTTGCATGGGTCTGTTTCTGGGTCTTCTATCCTTGTCCACTGCTCTGTGACTCGTAAGCCTTTTTATGACAGTTAATGAGAACGACCATTGTCTTACAACCCTCTCAACGCCTGTGGAGGGCAAGGACGATCTGGGGCTACTGTGCCCCTCACCCTTGACCTAAGGCACAGAGCTGCTCTACTTGTAAAATACAAGCACATCCACGTATGTGACTCTACCCTTGGCCCTCTTGGTTACAAGTTGCAGGAGTTGAAATTAGTTCAACACAGTCAAATTTTGCAAACACAATATTTAATAATGATGGTTCTAGAGCCTGGGAAGACAGTTCTGTTGCTAAAGCTCTGGCCTCAGAAGCATGTGGACCTGAATTCAATCCCCAGCACTCATGTAAAAAAATGTCAAGCAGGCGACACACACTTGCAATCTCAGCACTGGTAAAATGAAAACACGTGAAGCTTACTGACCCATCAGGCCAGCCATTAGCAATGAGTCTCATCAGTGAGCTCCAAGCCAAAGAGATACCTTGTGTGGCAGGAGGTGGATGCCATTCCTGCGGCTACCTGAGGTTGTCCTCTAACGTACACAGGCAAGCAAGCACACCTACCTCGCAGTGTATTGTGGAATATTATTTTAACTGGTCAAAGATGTGTTATATATGTTTATGCTGTAGAATATTGCTTTAACTATGTAAAGGTTGTTACATTTGTTTCTGCTGCCTTTGTTAATGATATAACGATGTGTTACATTTGGGTACCCTGCATTTGTTTAATTATGTCAGAGACATGTAGCATTTGTTTCACCTTGCCTGCCTAATTGCACCTGATTGGTCTAATAAAAAAAATGAATGGTCAATAGTTAGTCAGAAGAGGGATAGGCGAGGCTGGAAGGCAGAGAGAAAAAATAGAATTCAAGAGGAGAGGAGAAAGAGGAGCCTGGGGAGAACGAAGGGTACAGGCCTGGGGCTGCAGCCAAAAAGCCAGACAGAGACAGCAGAAAAGTACAATACACAGAAAAACAGAAAGAAAGGTAAAAATCCCTCAGGTGAAAAGAAAAATAAAGAGAAACAGATTAATAAGATCTAAGATAAGGCCGAACATTCATAACTAATAAGAAGTTTCTGTGTCATGTTTTGGGAGCTGGTTGGTGGCCCAAAGGAGAGCCTGGTGTGTTTCTTATCACAACCTAGGATCACATGGGAGATGGGCATCTGGGGCTGGGGCTGCTTTGCTATCACTAATGGAGGCGGGAATCCTGCCCACTGGGCAGGGAATCCTGGACTGTGTGAGGACTGAGAGAGCAAGCTGAGCATCGTATGCGTGCGTCCACCGCTCTCTGTTCCCGACTGTGGTTGTAAAGGGTCAAACTCCTGCAAACTCCCACCACAGTGACTTCTGGGCCACGAGGGACTGCTCCTGAGCTGTGAGCTGGGCAAACCCTTCTCCTTCAGGTAGCTTCTGTCATTTTATCACAGCGACAGGAACAGAAAGTAAGATACACATGCATGAAAAAAGGCAGGCAGGATGGCTCAGTGGGTAAAGGCTCCTGCTGCCAAGTCTCACAAGCTGTGTTCCACCCCAAGGACCCACGGTGTTCACACACACACACACACACACACACACACACACACACTAATTTAATTTTAAAAGTTAACAATCTTATGAAAACATTACATTTACTTCAAATATAAAGTTTTCAAGTGTAATTTAGATGTGGGAAATTATAAGGAAATATTTCTTAGAACACATTCTGTGGAACTGGAGAGAGCACAGTGACTGAGGGCACCTACTACTACTGCAGAGGGCCCAGGTTCCGTTCCAGCACCCATCTGGAGGCTGCCACCCCCTGTAACTGCAGTTCTAGGTGATCTGAAGCCCTCCCGCTTCTGGCTTCTGTGGGTAGCAGGCATGCATGTGGTGCACATATATACATATACATTCAGGAGAAACATTCGTGCACATAAAAACAAATAGATCTTATATAACAAAGCATATTCGTGCCTGGACATAGTGGCCCATGCCTTTAATCCCAGCATTTAGGAGGCAGAAGTGGGTAGACCTCCATGAGACCCTGTCTTCAAAATCCCATTTTGTGATTTTTGAATGTTTACTTAGTTTTACTAGAGAGAAGTTTCTGCCATTCCACCCAGGCTAGCCTTGAGCTTGCGATAGCCCACCTCTGCCTCCTGAAGACACCCGGCACACCTGCCAGCTGAAGACTGAGTGCTGAAGGCCTCAGATGATGCAGATATGTAATAAATAAATGAAGATAAAAGCAAAGTAGAATAACAACATAAAGAAAAGAAGGAAAAACAAAGATACACAGTAGACAATGCAGACTTGCAGATGCCAAACCTGAAAGCACTAAGAGATGCTGGCGCCTGGCTCACTGACTTAACCACACTTAGAACACACTGGGAAGTCAATATTAGCTGTCTAAGTGTTGGTCAGTTTACACAGAGTGTAAAGAAGATGGCAAAACTACTTTATAGCTCTATAGGGTAGGAGGAAATGTGGGATTCCCCTCTGTATGCTGTGAATACCATTGGTTAATAAAGAAACTGGCTTGGCCTGATAGGGTAGAACTTAGCTAGGTGGGGAAAACTAAACTGAATGCTTGGAGGAAGAAGGCAGTCAGGAAAAACTATGGAGCCGTAGCCATAGACAGACATGTTGAAACCTGGCCAGTAGGCCCCAAGCCTTGTGGTAAAATATAAAATAATGGAGATGGATTAGTTCTAGATGTAAGAGCTAGCTAGCAATACACTTAGGTAATTGGCCAAGCAGTGATTTAATTAATACAGTTTCTGTGTGGTTATTTCAGGAGTCTGGGCAGCCAGGGAATGAAAAGTGGCCTCCTTACAACAAGGTAGTTTGGACGCCCAAAGAGGCCAAAGGTCAGAGAGTTTGGGACTTGCTTCTAATTCATTGAAGGTCATTGTGCTTCTAACAAAGGTCCCACCTAGTTGTAAATCGGAGTTCTGCTCTTTCAAGGCCATTGTCAACAGGTCCTGCTCCTGAAATAGGGAAGTAGTTGGTTTCTACCTAAAACAAAAGTCTAAGGATCCAACTAAGTTCCAGTTCAATTATGGAAATAACTTGGGATTTCACCCAGGGAGTGGTTAGCCTACAGAGTGTTTGGTCTAGGGCATGAATCAAGGACATGAGCAAGGAATGTACCCTGCTACTTTCAATTTGTTGTACGTCAATGCAGTCTTTTGTCTTACTCCTACCTTTTGGGGCAAGGGGCAAATCAACCAGTTGGAAATTAAACACAGGCGAAATTTTAGTACTCACTGAAATTCCCTCCTAATACTATCCTACATGTTTCTGCGTTTTATTATTTTCATTTGTGTCTTCGTATTCTTTACTATATTTCTAAATCCCCACGCCTCCACTCTGGAAGAGGTATTTTTGTCAAGGCTGGCCCCCGACAAGGAGGGATTTGGAGAATTATTTAGAAGATAGGTATAGACATACAATCAAGGGCAGACTGTGGGCTGGAGAGATGGCTCAGCAGTTAAGAGTATATATATGCTTTTCCAGAAGACCTGAGTTCAGTTACCAGCATCCACACTGGGCACTCACAACTGCCTGACTCCAACTCTAAGGGAGCTGGTGCCCTCTTCTGGCCTCTGAGGACACTGCTCACATGACAAACCCACACAGACACACATGCAGAATTAAAAATAAAGTTTAAAAAGTAAATTTACATAAAATATCTGTGGAAGCACCCAGTTTAAGAACTGCAGGCCTTTTGGTGTCTTTTGTTTTATAGTGTTGTGTAGAGGCTCACACATGTTAGGTGAGCACTCAACCACTGAGCCACACCCCAGCTGTATACACTCTGTTCACTAATAGATTGCTGAGATGTAATTCACATGGCATACAATTCCAATTTTATTACGTCACAGATCTGAATAGACACAGTCTAACTGAGAATGTTGCAAACAAGAACCCTCACCCATTAGCAGTCACCCATCTTTCTGCCCACAATCTGACTCTCATCCCCTGCCCCGGGCAACCACTAATTTGCTGTCTGTCTCTACAGATTCACCTGTTCTGGACAGGACAGGACAGGTCAATGGAATCATACAATATGAGATACAGACATTCGGTTCATAGTAGCCATTCTTGCAATTAATCTCCTCAGACATTCAAATGTAAACGTTTTTAATTACTTACATAAAGATGCAATCAAGCCTTGGGAATCTGCAACGTTTCCTACTAAAGACAAGTAGACGAAAGCGCCTTCCTAGAGGGAAGAAAAGGGAGACAGGCTCTGTTTAGCCTCACCACCACAGGGCACGGCAGACACAAAGGCCCTGCATGGCAGCAGCTCCCCCTGCCCCTCTGTAAGGTGTTCAAATCTTGGTCCAAGGACTTGAGGACCGCAGCATCTCTGGAGGCTAACCAGAGATATGAGCATGACCAAAATTAATAATAAATGTTACTTTTTAATGATTGGCATTATCAAACCAGAGGTGTGTTCTTATGTAGAAAAAAAAGTGAAAATTTCATGGAGAGTGCTTGACTGTTGTACAAAATAAAAGTTAGCTTTAGATTATTCCAAAGATCTTAAATCTTCAAAAAGACTGGCAATAGTTCATTTTTTTAACCTTAAAAATGAAACACATGTCCATTTTGGTTGTTAACACAGAAGACACTGCACATGGATTAAATTCCCATCCTGGTTCTGCAAGCCTATGCAGTTACTTTCTCTGTTTTATCTGTCAGTGCTTTCTAAAACCGGAAAAGCCACTTGAGCCATTCCTACCGTGCTGGTAGAGGTGGTGTTCACTGCAGGGGACCATGGATCTTTTTCTTTACTGACCCAGTGTCTTGACCCTGTGTCACTTTGTGGTACAGTTAGAGGTGGAAGGTCCTTCCCTACCTGTCTCAAAATCACACTGTATTAGTTTGCTTCATATGTGGGCTAGGACTTACTAGTGAGAGATGTCTGTCCATCCCACAGTTTCTGACTGTCTGTCCTTCTCTGATTTTCACGTTATCTCTTGACTGTCATTCAGCCCCTTTCCCGCTCTAATCTCTGCTAACACAGGCTCGGATGCAGATCTATGCTACCTTTTCTTGACTCTCTTTCTGGGTCACCTAATTAGTAAATGTGCTTTGTCTGAGTAAATCTAAAATGCATCTTCTTGATAGGAGATTTAGACCAGGCATGGTAGGAAAAAACCTGTACACAAGTCAATGCCAGCATAGTCTACACTGTGAGTTATAGGCTAGCCAGAGATGAAAGAATAGGGGTGAGGAAGAGCATGAATGAAAGGAAGGAAGAAAGAAATGGAGAAAGAAAGGGAAAAGGAAGACTCTAAAGCGTCCAGACTGAGGACGCAGCGCAGAGGCAGATCACTTTTCTGGCGTGCACAAGAACCATCGTTCCGTTTCTACTTCCCAGGAAAACCAAGAGCAGCTGAAGGGTTTAAGATATATTTTATTTTTAATTGTATGCATGTGTCTGTCTGTGTGCATGTTAGTGCAAGTGAGAACAGGTGCCTAGGAGGTCAGAAGAGAGAGTTGGGTCCCCCGAGGTGAACATTTAGGTGGTTGCTAGGAGCCCAGTTTGAGTCCTCTGCAAGAACAGGATGCACTCTTGATCACTGCACTGGTCACCAAACCTACCCAGTTTATTTCAGTTAGCCCCCCTCTCTCTCTCTCTCTCTCTCTCTCTCTCTCTCTCTCTCTCTCACACACACACACACACACACACACACACACACACACATTACAATTCATAAACAGTAGCAAAATTACATTTATGAAGTAGCAATGAAATAATCATATGGTTGGGGTCAGCACAACATGAGGAACTGTATTAAAGGGTCTCAGCATTAGGAAGGTTGAAACCCACTGCATTAGGAGGTAGAGGCAAGAAGATCAAGACAGTAAAGCTAGCCTTAGCTTTCTGGTGAGTTCTAGGCTAGCCTGGGACACATGAGGTCTTGTCTCAAATAGAAGATTAGCAGACTGCATCAACCTGCATCCAAGGTGTGATGGTGTAGAGTACACTGGCATATCACAAAGCTGTGATAGTAAACTGTCATCTCACAGGTGTAGAGTAACTGTCATCTCACAGGTATAGAGTAACTGGCATCTCACAAAGCTGTGATAGTACACTGTCATCTCACAGGTGTAGAGGACACTGTCATCTCACAGGTGTAGAGGACAGAGGACCCTGTCATCTCACAGGTGTAGAGTAACTGTCATCTCACAGGTGTAGAGTAACTGGCGTCTCACAGGTGTAGAGTAACTGGCATCTCACAAAGCTGTGATAGTACACTGTCATCTCACAGCTGTAGAGTAACTGTCATCTCACAGATGTAGAGTACACTGTCATCTCACAGGTGTAGAGGACACTGTCATCTCACAGGTGTAGAGGACACTGTCATCTCACAGGTGTAGAGGACACTGGCATCTCACAGGTGTAGAGGACACTGGCATCTCACAGGTGTAGAGGACACTGGCATCTCACAGGTGTAGAGTAACTGTCATCTCACAGGTGTAGAGTAACTGTCATCTCACAGGTGTAGAGTAACTGGCATCTCACAAAGCTGTGATAGTACACTGTCATCTCACAGGTGTAGAGTACACTGTCATCTCACAGGTGTAGAGGACACTGTCATCTCACAGGTGTAGAGGACACTGTCATCTCACAGGTGTAGAGGACACTGGCATCTCACAGGTGTAGAGGACACTGGCATCTCACAGGTGTAGAGGACACTGGCATCTCACAGGTGTAGAGGACACTGTCATCTCACAGGTGTAGAGGACACTGTCATCTCACAGGTGTAGAGGACACTGTCATCTCACAGGTGTAGAGGACACTGGCATCTCACAGGTGTAGAGGACACTGGCATCTCACAGGTGTAGAGGACACTGGCATCTCACAGGTGTAGAGGACACTGGCATCTCACAGGTGTAGAGTACACTGTCATCTCACAAAGGTGTAGAGTAACTGGCATCTCACAGGTGTAGAGTACACTGGCATCTCACAAAGCTGTGATAGTACACTGGCATCTTACAAAGCCGTGATAGTACACTGGCATCTCACAAAGGTGTAGAGGACACTGGCATCTCACAAAGCTGTGATAGTACACTGGCATCTCACAAAGGTGTAGAGTACACTGGCATCTCACAAAGGTTTAGAGTAACTGTCATCTCACAGGTGTAGAGGACACTGGCATCTCACAAAGGTGTAGAGGACACTGGCATCTCACAAAGCTGTGATAGTACACTGGCATCTCACAAAGGTGTGGTCTCCAGGGCCAAGGGAGGAGGCACCAACTGTGAGCAACTGTGAGGTCTTTCCTCAAGGTTAACAATGAGGGCTGAGAAACTCTCTCCTTTCTCTCAGAGCAACTCTAATCTGGTAAACCTTCCCAGCAAGCACATTAGCCAGGCATCCACTACCACAGCAGCTCCCCCGAGAAGGGCTGACTTCAGAGGAAGGGGTCCCTCGGCTCACCATTTCAGGGTGTGATGGTCTGGATGGCCCAGCCTACAATGGACAGAGAATGGTGGAGTCTATGTGGAAGAGAAACCACATCTCAAACCAGGCTTGGTCCTTTTACAGCAATCCTCTGTGTGAACTGTCAATGGGTCCCATGAGGACTACCATATCCCTCAATGACCTTCCCTTTAGATATCACCTCTTTCAGATGGTATTTCTGGAAGGTTCTGTGACTTCAGCCTGGTCTGTTCTTACACTGAAAGAACTTGGAGAAACACAAACAGGTAGGCAGAGGGCCACAGCAGCAGCTACCCTAAAGTCCACAGACGCCCCAACAACACGCTGAGCAAGACACCGGAGGCAGAATCTGGACACACAAGGAGACCAGTGACTTGGGTTCTAAAGATTCCTGAGGACCCCTGACCAAGTCTGCTCTAACCACGCAGGAAGTATACCAGAAACCATCTAGTGTGATTTCCCAGGGGCCAACATTGTTAAAAAAGACCTACAGGGCTCCTGACATGAATCCACTTTGCTTGATGAACTGAAAAGCTGCTTTTTCTACCCCTTCAAGTTATTTTAGGCTCTGAAGCTTCAAATATGCAGGGACCCTTTCGTAAGCAGCACCCAAAGTTACTAGCTTCAGAAGTTTTACATCATAACACACACTCCATATCCAGCCTTTCAGATTAATAGCCAAAGTATACGGGAACTTAAAAATAACCAAAAGAGTAACAACAATTTTAACACCAAAACAAGTCAGTGAATCAATAAGCAAATGGACAAGCAAACAGCATTTCCCAAGGTTCAAAGGGCCACAAGCATGCGACAAAATCTTCAACACCTTTAGCCATCAGGGACAAGTAAATCTGAACTACATTGAGACTCTATCTTACATCAGGTGGGATACCTAGCATACAAGGAATGGGTGCTAGAGAGACATTCAGAGTGGTTAAGAGAACAGGCTGCTCTTCCAGAGGTCCTGAGTTCAAGTCCCAACAACCAGATGGCAGCCCACAGTTATCTATAATGAGACCTGATGCCCTCCTCCAAATGCAGAAAGAGCACCCATATACATAAAAATACATTTAAAAAAATCTAGCTGGGCACAATGATAGTATACACCTTTAAAATCTCAGAACCAGGCTGAACCAGGAGGATCTCTAATTCCAGGCTAACCTGAGCTACATAATGAGACCCTTTCTCAGAAATCAGGCTGACATAGCTGGGCGGTGGTGGCGCACGCCTTTAATCCCAGCACTCGGGAGGCAGAGTCAGGCGGATCTCTGTGAGTTCGAGGCCAGCCTGGTCTACAAAGGGAGTTCCAGGACAGGCTCCAAAGCTACAGAGAAACCCTGTCTCGAAAAACCAAAAAAAAAAGAAAAGAAAAGAAATCAGGCTGACAAAATGATTTATCAGGTCAAGGCACTTCCTGTCCAAGCTGGTAGACCTGTTTGAGCCTAGAACCCACATAGAGATGGAAAGAGAACCAAGGCCACAAAGTTGTTCTCAGACTTTCACAGAAGCGCCATGGTAGATACACATATACACACATGGTAATAATACTAAAAAACCCACACAGAAACCTACTACTGTAGAAACTTCCTAAAACACATACATACATAAAAAAAAATTAAATGCAGTCAATATGTAATGGAGGAGACAATACTCTAACTAGACATCAAATGGTACCACGTAAAGACCCCAGTTATAGGGATTGGCATCTTTTGATTCACTGGCCAAAGAGGACTTAAAGGCCCACCATACTCTATAGACTATTGCCA